TGTAGAATCCATCTAAACTTTTGTTACTGGTGCTGGAAACATCCATTAACATGGCTTCCAAAAGTATCACCTTCTATTATTTCGAACATTATCTCACAGTGGTTTTCCTATGGAGGAAAAAAATTAAGAGAATAGTTTATTTTATGAGCTGATCTAACAATATATCCAAAACTGCCCCTTAACACATCCCCAGAGTCTATTCAGAAAAACAAACAAGTATACAGCTCTGTCAGCCATATGTGGAATACAATGTGTGACCACTCCTCTACCTCAGCATGTCATATCTGAACAATTTAGAATCAGGAAGAAGAATTTCTGCCCCCATAATATAACAAGGAATTCCCCTATTCTACATACTGTGTAAGAGACATCACAAGCTGACCAAGAAGAAGTGGGTGGGCTCAAATGTAAGATTTTTTTTAGATGTTGACTCTAGACAGCAAATTTCCTGTTGCACAGAATGGCAGCCATCATTTTATTGGCTGCAATTATTCAAACAACTCTAGGGATGCACCGATACCGGTATTTCGGTACAGAGTACGAGTACCAATAATTTTTTTCAGTGCTCACCGATACCGAATACCAAGTACCTGAAGTCCCATTCAGGAGACCAGGTGGCGTGTAATGACTCGCCACCTGGCTTCCTGATTAGCCGGGAAGCCGGGCAGAGTGTAAAGACTCGCCACTCGGCTTCCCGATTAGCAATGAAACCGTCCCCATGCTGCTCGTCACTAAGTGACGAGAAAGCATGGAGCTGGCTTGCTGGCCAATCATGGAAGCCGTGCGCAGAGCAGATCCATCAGATCTCCTCAATTATCTACAGAACACTCAGCGATCACTGAGTGTTTGCTCTCCTCTCTGACGCACTGTCACAGGAGGCTGAGTGAGCGGTGCGAGAGGAGAGCTCAGCCTCCTGTGACAGCGCTGTCTCCGCCCCACTCTGTCGCACTGTGATAGGCGGCCGAGTGGTGTGGGAGGAGAGACACCGACCGCTCACAGCGCTCGCCTGGCTGTCACTTTCTCTCCTCCCCGCTGGGACACAGAGCGGGGAGGAAAGAAACCTGGGATGCGCCGCTGTATCGGCAGGAAAATGGCACTTTAGGCATTTAGCCAAAAGTGCCATTTTCGGCCGATATGTTTCGGCGGCCGATATATCGGTGCATCCCTATTAAAAATACATTCAAATCCCTTAACTATTAACAAAAATGTATCTTATTTGTATATCACTCGGCTGTAGACCATCACATCATCTCTGAATTGGTGATGATATTGTCCTTCCTTCTGGAGGGTGGCTACTTTTGTTCTCCATGGTCCCTGTGTGTGTTGTAAAGTAGTCACCGCTCCAAGCTTAAAAGTAAAGGGAACCGTACTTTTCAAATATGGTTACATTTTTAGAAGATTATATCCCTAAGTCTCTTCTGTAAATATATATATCTATCTATCTATATATATACATACATACAGGCAGTCCCCGGGTTACGAACAAGATAGGGACTGTAGGTTCGTTCTTAAATTGACTTTGTATGCATGTTGAAACAGGTCCATTTTTTTAGGTGCAACTCCAGCCAAAAATGTTTTTTTTTTGTTTTGGATAGCATAGGGAAGGCTTAACCCCCTGTAAAGTGTGTGTTGCTGTGTGTGCCCCTGTTCAGAAGATTCCACCTCACTTTCTGTCCCTGTGACAATTGGATTTTGAAAATGTTGGGTTTAACTTCAGTGGAGACACCTTTTTCAAATGATAAAGAAGTGAATTTCCCTTCCTAGAGGTAGATGTCCTCTTAATTCCTGTTGTCTCAAGGACTGGAAGTGAGACTAAATCTTTCTAATGAGGATACAGACAGCAGTAAAAACCTCACAGTGACCCAGAAGAAGAGGTGGGCACCCCTCCTCTGCACGTCTAACATGAGCCAACTTCCTGTAATGTACGTACAGTACTACAAACCAGACCCAAAAAGGTGGGCACCCCTAGTCGGCTCGAGCGCGGTAGCATTACAACTACCCCTGCTGTACAGTAATAGCCTCCGTTTGTAAGTAGGAGTCGTATGTAAGTCGGATGTATGTAAGTCGGGGACTGCCTGTATACCCCTATCTGCAGGTGCTACAGACTTTCGTGCAATACAGTTCACTTGCTAACAGATACATACTAATATCCCATGACATGAACACCACAAAATGAGAAATAATCCAAATTCTATAGGAGCGAGCTAAATTCACACATACCTGAATAAAGAGCTCCTTTTAAAAGTTGACAGCAGCACATAGTTTGGCATACTCATTTGCATGATATATCCGGCCAGTGAGGTTCTATGGATGTAACATGGTTGTTCCCTATGGGTCAGCTGCAGCCACTAGTCTGGCTCAAATTTGGCCCAGGTGTGTACTGAGCTTGTGGGTGTGATTGTGACAGTTATGGGGTGTGATTGTTGTATGCTGCTGTCATGGTTGCAGGTCCTGGACAAAGATCTGGTACAGGAATGCATCAATTCACTGTGTAAATGGCACAGAAGGTGGGGCACACTGTACCTGCCAGGCCACCTGACAAGCCATCAATGAGCTCCCTGTGTTTACATTGATGTGGAGGAGCAGTGCCTGCTCAGCGGATGATTTACCTCATCCCTTGACACGGACAGCAACACACACTTTACAGGGGTAAACCCTTCCCTATGCTATCCAATACAAAAACAAAAATTTTGGCTGGTGTTGCACTTAAAAAATTGACCTGTTCCAACTTACATACAAATTCAACTTAAGAACAAACCTACAGAACCGATCTTGTTCGTAGCCCGGGGACTGCCTGGATTTTGTGTATCTTAAAGTGTTTTGTTTTTATTTTGCAGCCAAATTAGAATAATACCTATTTTACAGTATATCTGATCCGTTTCTCATTCACATGGCATAACTTAAAAAAAATAACTGCAGCTTACCTTTTTAAGTGCTTTTTACTTGATTAAAAAAAGATATTGAACCCCCCTCCCCTGTGTAATGTTAAGGAGGGGGGCTGGGTATGTCACTTATCATAATTAGCCCGGTCTGTACTGTGCAGGCAGATCTCATCGGTTGTAAACTAGATTTTTAACACGGTCTGTCTTAAAGGAGAACTATGGGGTCAGGGCTTTTCCCCATAGTTCTCCTAAGGGTAACGGGAGGACACAAACTAGCGTCCTCCCGTCACCCAAAGCTCAGTATACCGCGAGCTACAGCTCACAGTATACTGAGACGCCGCAGCCGGGAACGGATCCCGACAATACTGCCTGGATCCACCCAGCTGCGTGATTGACAGCTGGCTCTGCCTATCTAGAGGCAGAACCAGCTGTACTCGCCCCCTCCCCGGTCCGTTCCGCCAGTCAGCGCTGGAGGATCGGACAGGAGAATCCCTGCAGTGAGTGACAGTCATGGCTCTCTGCAGGGATAGATCGAGAAGTGAGCGAGCGCCGGTATGTGTTTACTCACTTCTCGATCTACTGAGCCGACCTGTGACAGTCTCATTGTCACAAGTCGGCTCAGATTATGAGGCTGAGTGAAAATCACTCACCTAATAGTTCTCCTTTAACTAAGGGTTAAAGATCTGGAGGTTTGGTTTGAGGCTATGGTCACACCATGTCTGTTTTGTATGGGGAGCGTGGATAGGTTTTACCTGTCAGATTTTTAGTGCTCTGTGTCCCTGGAAGACTCAACTCTATCCTGGTAACAGGAAGTAATGGGACGTTCAAAACTTTGAGGTCTGGTTCACACCAAGTACGGAGCAGATGCAGAGCAGTTACAGAACGCATCAAAACTGCATCAATGTATTTTGGACTCTAGATCACACCGGAGCGTTCAGTTCCAGAGCATAAGGAAAAACTGCAGCATGCCCTATTTTTTCTGCTCTGAAATGCTTGCAAACGCATCAAAACACATGCAAACGCCCTGAAAGCCCATTTTAGGCAAAAAAAATGTTAAGGCCCGAAACGCGTCAAAACACACGGCACTGAATGTGCAGAAACTCATGCAGGTCTGGTCTGCATTTGGTGTGAACAAGCCCTTAGTTGCCACTGGAACAGGACGAGGGGGAAATCTTCCAATGGGGTCACCATGACTATGCTTTCTCTTTTCATTCATACTCATACCGAAGTTATGTTTATACATTTAGAACATTGTCTCATTCTGTAATAACGAACCAAATGACAACAGCTCTTCTCTCTCAGAAATGGAGTCCTTGGTGTGTACAGTAAGCCCCCTGCGCCCGCCACTCCTGCATCCCAGCCACACCACTCTGCATCCCACTGCGCGTCCCCGCCGCCCCACACGCTACTCTGCATCCCACTGCGCATCCTCACACACCACTCTGCATCACACTGCGCGTCCCCACACACCACCCTGCATCCCACTGCGCGTCCCCACACACCACTCTGCATCCTATTGCCCCACACACACCACCCTGCATCCCATTGCCCCACACACCACTCTGCATCCCACTGCACGTCCACACACACCACTCTGCATCCCACTGCGCGTCCACACACACTACTCTGCATCCCACTGCACGTCCCCACCGCCCCACACACTACTCTGTATCCCAGTGCGCATCCTTGCCTCCCCACACACTACTCTGCATCCCATTGCGCGTCCCCCCCGCCCCACACACCACTATATCCTACTACGCCACCCCATCCACTACTCTCCAGCCCACTGTGCACCCCGTCGCCCCACATGCTACTCTCTGCATTTTACTGCGAGCCGCCCCCCTCCCTCCCTCCCTACACACACACTGCTCTCCAAGTCTCCAACCCGCCGCCAGTGCCGCTACAGTCAAGCACTCGCCGGTCGCTCAGTCATTGGTCGGAACCCCTGCCACTCCAATGTGAACGCGCTCTTGATTGGTTCAGTGCTCTGTGGTGTATTGGTTGGTTGCCTGGGTTAGCCGCGCCGTGATTGGTGGTAGCACTCGGAGGCCGGAAGTATGTTGTCACATGTGCTCCTTTGCACCGGACAGCTGGCGCTGGTGGAGCCCCTGTGGGTGACGGTGGCTGGTGGGAAGCGCCAGTGAGTATGTGGCTGTGTGTTGATCAGTCTTTGCTCATTGTACAGGGCAGGAAGCGGGCTTATCGGTCCTCAGGTTTCATCTTGTTCTATGTTCCTGTAGATTCCTTTAAATCTCTGGGAAGTGGCTGCTGCCAGTAGCAGCTAATCGGAGCCCAGCTGTCATTTGCTCAGTGTTGTGATTGAGTCTGATGGTTGCTGTGGGTGACACAGACAGTTTTGATTTCAGATTTATTGATCAGTACCCAGAATTGGGTCCAAGCTGCAGGGCTGATTTTCCAGAGTGGGATCTCGCATGGCTTAGTACCATGACAAGGTGCCAAATTCACTTCTGTGTCATCACTGCATGATGATGGCGTGTTCTGTGTCCAGCTACATACATGGCAGTATTCTCTGATCATGAGCAGACAATGTAACCATTGCTAGGCTGTTGTCCTCCATTCATTTGCCCACCCTTGAAGCATGGGGGCCCCCCACAATGTGCTCTGTCAGATGGCAGACATCACATAACAAAATGATTAACTCTTAAGAGAAGGAAAGGATCAGCCGGCTGCACTCTGAATTTCCAACAATTTGGCAAATGTCTCTTTGAGATTGTTTCAGGTGGTCAGAAGATTAAATTCCCAGAGGGAAGTCCTAAGTGGCCCGATCCACCATAGAGCAACATGGGCTGCAATCAGGATTGTCATGGCCATCCGTCATAGTTAATGAACGACATTAAAGTTAATCCATCATGAGAGAAGAATTATGGAGGTGCCTATTGTTGACGTCTCCTTATTAGGGTTCCCAGTCTGTCATGCTGAATGAAGGGGGTGCAGATCTCCAAAACATGTCGGCTCTCATTGAACCTTCAATAAACATCCCAGCCTGCCATGTGTAGAACATCACTCGCCTCATAGTTTTCCTTTTTAAGCTGGCCATACACTAGTAGATCTCGCAGATTTCTCCATCCATGCTAAACGGCACATTTGGAGGAATCTACCTGCTGGCTATTGTATTTTGACAGCTAGAGCCTGCTGGTGTTTGATGACTGGCGTAGGGCTGACACATGAAGTGGGTCACATGCTCCTCCATAGCTGGAAGTACAGGATATGTTCTTCACTCCTGGCAGCTGGATGGAGGGGCGTGGGATCAGATGAAAGGTGAGTATATTACAGTTCTATTCCAGTCTAAGTATGAATCCCCTCCCTCTAACCTATCCAGCAAGCT